TCTAGTCACCCCACCCCCCAGAAAGGATGCTTTTTCCTCCCCCACAGTTAGTAAGCATTGACCCCACCAGCCCAAGGACTCCCGACACAGCGTCCCTTCCTTACCCCTCCACTGCCCTCGGGGCACAGTGCCGCACCCCGCCTCCCGACACCGGCTTAATTTCCCAGAGCTTCTGAGGGGTCTGTAGACCAAGTTGATCCTAATTCCTAGGTTCCCGGGTAAGAAGCCTCTCTCCTTCCTCCTCGCACAGTCGCCGCAGGCGCCCTCGCCCAGGCTGCTGAGACCCTGGAAAAGCGGTTGCCGCGCGGGCAGCCGGCAGACGCAGGAGCCCCTTTACGTGGTCTGCGCGCGCCCCCTGCTGCCTGCTGCGAGGAATGACACTCTCCTTCCGCCTGTTCCTTCGGGTCCTTGGGTACCACGCACCACCCTCCCTCCCCGGGACCTCTCCTATTGCGGTGCGTTCCCGAGGCCTTCCTAGGACAGCGCTCAGGATGGGCCAGCACTTAAAAAGCCAAATGGTGCCTCGGTGAATGGGCTTAGTACCCCCGAGGCTACTATCTCACTTTAGAGGGGGCCTAAGTGACTTTCTGCCTCGCATCGCGCAAGTTAGATGTAAGGGCATAACAGAGCATAGGTTTCCTGACATCAAGTCCAGACCTCTACAAAGTAACGAAGAAACAGAGGGCTTAAATTCTCCAGGGCACCGAATGAAGAACTCTATGGAGATTGAGAAAAAGGCGTCCTGCGTCCTAAGAACCTGCCTGATTCTGAGTCCTCTCAGCGGCCCACACCGGCCAGGAGCCAGCATTGTGCATGTACCTGTTCTGTCACTGGTCTAAGCCTGCCCAGGCAGTGAGCACTGACAGGGGCCTCCCCAGTGCCGGGTCCAGGTGTGCACCTAGCCAACAGAAAAGCATCAGCTCAGGAAAGCTCCAGAAGCACCCCTTCCCCAGGGCTGAGGCTGTGAGTTCCCTGGGGAAGGGAGAACAATAAATAGAGGTCAAGGCCAGAGGATCCTGGGGGGAGGAGAGGGGGCCCCTCCCTTCTGCTATGTGTGACCTGTGTCACCTGGTAAGTGGCCTACCCTCTCTGAACCTTGTGTTCCTTATCTGTAAAGTAGCATTCATAATTTTTCACAGGTTGCCATGAGGATTTGCTGCTACAATTTTGTCATACCCAGCACATAGCACACACTCCATAAATGCTGGTCCCCAAAGGGACTTGAAGGATTGCCAGTCTCCAGACTCCTGAGGTGGCCATTAGCCCACAGTCCTTTTTAGCCCCAGAATAACCAAAAATCCAAATGTCCATAATCCAAATGTCCCCTAACAGTATAATGGGTAAATAAAAGGTAGTATATTCATCTTGGGAATACTATACAGCAATGAAAATTAATAAACCATAGCTACGTATTTAACACACATAGTGCTGAGTGAAAGAGGCAAAATGAAGAATGATAAGTATCGTGTGATGCCACATACATAAAGCTTAGAAGGTTGCAAAACGTTTCATGCTCTCTGTTGCTCATGGATACGTAATTATAGAGTAATTTGTATGAGACCATGACTGGAAATGATAACACCAGGTTAGAATAGTAGTTAACTCCCACGAATGAGACTGGTGAGAGGTTCAAAGGGACTACATATATGTCTGTGATGCACTTTTACTTAAAAAACAAAAACTGAAATATGGCAAAAGCTGCAATCAATAAAGTCAGATGGTGAGTTCTTGGGTATTTATCATATATTTATCTATAACTTTCTTCATGTTTGGAATATTTTATTATGATAAAAAGGAGAAAGCAGTTGCTCACCTAATAATAGACCCTCCGCCCACTCACCTCCCCACCTGACAAACTCTCCTCCATCTTTGATCTCATCTTCAGTATGTTTCTTTTTCAAAGTAGAAGCCAGATGCAGGTGACTCCCAAACCTGTATTCAGCTCAGACACCTTCTCCTACCTGACTTCCTGTCAGATGTCCCCACTGGGATGCTTCTCAGACACCGCATCCTCAGTGCAGCCAAAAGTGCCCCCTCCCACTGCCTGTTGCCCATGGCTGGAAGGACACGTTGTGAGACAGTAGCTACCCAAGCATCTTGTTGAATCCTTTGGATGCTGATGATAAAGAAGAAGATCTCCCAAGCTTCTTAACAACAGAAAAGGTTTTCTACAAATCAAAATCAACCTGACAGCAGACTTCCTATCAGCAATGTGACATACTAGAAAACAGCCACTAGAAGCAATGAAACTTCTATGCAGAGGGCCCCAAAGAGAGAACTTTAAAAGAGTTTTGATTTTAAAAAAAGAAAGAAAATTAAAAAAGATTTATACCATACCATTTATGTAAACTAAAAACATATATACAAAACAGCCCTGTATATTTTACATGGATCCATAAATGATCAATAACAAATGGCAAACATACAAGAGAAAGGTTTGTTAGGGGAATTGGCAAAGGGATGAGGATAAAGAGGAAGAGACAGACAGAAAAAGAGTGGGGCCTGGTGCGGATCTCTCATGGTAATGGCCACGAAGGGACCTGCTCTTGAGGTCCAAAAGGGGTGGGGGGAATCATTAAAAAAAAAAGAAGGAAAAGAAAAGTATTCCCAAATTCAGAAAAAATTTGAGAGTCAATGAATTAAATGATGAGTTATAAGATTATTGGGAGAGATGGCAGGGAGAGCTTGCAGGGACTTAAAGTCAGGTATTTATTTTTGCTTAGAAAATTGAGAAGTTTCAAGAGATATAGTAATGTATTTGGCCCAAATTAATTCCTATCCCAGATTCCCTAAGTGAAAGCTGAAGCCATGGTAATCCTGGACCAGAAACTCAGGCTGGTGGCATCTTACCTGGCTCCTTTAGAGCCCTTGAGAGGAACACGTGGCCAAAGAGGCAGACATTGATGAGGCTGATGAGCTGTTTCCCCACTGCTCACAGCCCCTCGCCAATACCCACACGTGTGTGCATGAGCCTCTGTTCCATGCCAGGAACTGTACCTTTATTACTTCCTTTAGATTTCACTAAATCCAAAGTTCGCTGTATTAGGTGATGCTAATACCATTAGTTACAGTTATTCATTCATTGGTTTGTTCATTCAACAAATATTTGTAGGCTAACCATTCTGTGCCCACCTTAGTTCTAGGCACCAAGAGAAAAATCAGTAGGCCAAGCAGATAAAAACTCTGCTCTATAAAGAGCTTACATTTTTGTTGAGAGAGATAATAAAAAGAAAATATAAGTTTGTTGGATAGTAGTAAGTACTATGGAGAAAAATTAAGCAGTACAGGGAAATAAGGGAGACAGGACAAAGCAGAGAAAGTCAGGTTGGGGAAGGCCTCATTAAGAAGATGACATTGCAGCAAGGATTGGAAGAAGGTGAGGGAATGAGCCATGCAGGTAGCTGAAGGACAAGCAAGCATCCTAGACAAGGGAATAGCAAGTGCAAAGGCCCTGAGGCAGAAGTATATTTGGTCAAGGGAAAGAGAGAAGGCCAGCGTGGCTGGAGCAGAGTGAGATGGGGGTAGTAGTGGATGAGAGAAATAAACGGAGTGGAGGGCCTTGTCAGCACCTTTCAGGGAGTCAGTGGAGTTGAGCAAAGGAGTGACACGATCTGACCCTGTTAACCAGAACCACTTTGGTTGCTGAGTTGAAGTCTGTAGAAGGACAAGGGTGAAAGCAGGGGAGCAGATAGGTCCCTATTACAGTGATCCTAGCAAGAGACAGGAGGCTTGGTCCACAGTGGGAGCAGCAGAACTGTTTGGGCAAGGTCAGATTCTGGATATGTTCACAAGGGGGAGCCATATGAGAATTACACTGATGGACTGGATGTGAGGATAAGAGAAAGAGTGGATTCAAAGGTGATTTGGTTTGAGCAGCTAGAAGGATGAAGTTGCCATTTTCTGGGGTGGGAAAGGCTGCAGGGGGAGCAGGATATGGAAAGATGAGGAGGTGGGAGGCATCCCAAACTCTCACAATGTGAATGGGCTCAAACCTGATGTAAGCCTAGGTCCATGTGACTCCAAAGACCTTTCATCTTCAGTCCCTCCACACTGACTGCCCCAGGGAAAAGGCAGGCAAGAAAGGTCCTATTCCTGCCCTCCTCTGCCTTCACCAGGTCAGCACCGTCTGGGCAAATGACACCTTCAAACACTGGACTGTAGTTAGTTTTGACTCTGTTGCATTTTTTTAAACATTTTTTACTGAGTTAGTCATTTTACAATGTTGTGTCAAATTCCAGTGTACAGCACAATTTTTCAGTTATACATGAACATACATATATTCATTGTCACATTTTTTTTTCACTGTGAGCTCTCTGTTGCATTCTTTAAGCTGTCCTCATCTTCAAAGATCTGTCCTTTTAGTGGAAAAGCATTATCACTTGTCATAGGTCTTAACCGATGAGATTCCCAAATCACTGACCTGCCCTGGGCTCCTCCCATGGGCTTCCCATTCTACCAGAGTAAACCATTCAATGTGTTCTGGTGATCTGCTGATGCTGGGTATCAGGGCTCAGCTGGAATGTCCCTCTGCTACACATGGTGTCTGCTAGGATGTCTTGTGACGTTGTGATCAGGTCTGGCCTCAGAGGGTGGGACCTATGCAGTTGCACAGGGCCTCACACTGAGTGAGATCCTGCAGTTGGCTTAATGCTCTGCTCTTGCTGCCTTGAAATTCCTAACCATGTTAGAACAATAGACACTATGTTTTCATTTTGTGCTGGGCTCCACAAATTATGTAGCTGATCTGGCTTGCCATCAGAGGTTGGCTGGAACTGAAAAGTTCAGGATAGCTTGCTGGTCAAAGCAGGGTAGCCTGGGTCCTGTGGTGTTGCCTGCAGGCACCTGGAGGCACCAAGTAGAAACACTGGGCCTTGGAGGAGCAGTTTTGAGAACCTTCGGGGTAAGGAAAAGAAGGCTAGTTTTGGATAGACACAGATTCAAATTCCAACCACATCACCTAAGCTCCATTTAAGGGCAGATTTCTTAACCTCATTAAGCCTCAAGCGGCCTCATCTATTCATTAAAGAATGCTACCTCACAGGGCTGTCGTGGGAATACAGTGGGATAACATACTTAAAGCACAGGGTCCGGCACTTAGCAGGGGTGCAGTAAATGTTTGTTCCAACCCCTGTGGGGGAAGCAATCTGGTTTTCTGTAGGGCAGCCTGAGCCATGGAGGCCCTTAAAGCTCCTGCCATCCACGCCCTTCACTTGACTGCTGCCCACTTCTCTGTCTGGCAGAGGTCCTCGTTACCACCTCTTGGCTCATACCACCCTCACCCTGGCAGCGGTGCAAGATGGGTTCCGCACCCATGACCTCACCCTCGCCAGCCATGGTGAGTACGTGTGTACAGTGGGGGATGCCGGATGGTGAGAAGAGGCGCTGTTGGGTGGTCTCCTTCCTCCTCCCCTAGAGGAGAACCCCGCCTGGCTGCCCCTTTATGGTAGCGTGTGTTGCCACCTGGTGGCTCAGCCTGTCTGCATGATTCAGCCTACTGCAAGTGGGCCCCTCAGGGTGCAGGTACGGGGCCCTGAGGAGTGGAAGGGAACAGGGAGAAGGCAGAGCAGCCCTGAATCACCTAGGGATCCAAGGACTATTGAAAAAGCGAGATCTAGGGGGAGGGGGAAGAGGCATGGCCAGAAGAGGGGAGGGTCAGGCAGAAGAGCGGGCAGAAAGGAGCCCTTTCTCTCTGGGGGGCTGGGAAGGAGGGTGATGAGGGGGGATGTGATTCCCCTGGGAAACCTCGAGTCATTTACGCAGCAAGCGGGGGAGCTGCAGGTCTGGGTATGAGTAGACACCTTTGTACACATCTGGAAGCTGAGCAAAAGCCCAGAGAGTGGCTGCATTAATAATTCCAGCACTGTTGACTCATCTTTCTCAAGTTCTTTGAACTCTCAAGAGTTTTGAACACTTTACACTAGTGCAAATAACAAGGACTCTGCGGTTAGAGCTATACATAGCCTGGGTTCAGGGTGTAATCTCAAGCAAATGCAGGTAAACTTCTGTCGAGTTTCAGTTTCTTTGTCCGTAGAATGGGCTTAAGGAGCTGTTAGGAAAATCTTATTAGCTAGGTCACACACCCGAGAAGCGTCTGTCCCATAGTAGGCTCGTAGTAAATTGTCCCTTTCAGAAGGTTTTTCCTTCCTATTAGACAACTTGAGGAAGCTTCCTCCTTCTCCACTCCTGGGTTTCTCGCCCTGATTTGCCTGTTCCTTTCCCACAGAGGCAGGAGAGGCAGGCCCAAGACTCCAGAGCGACCCAAGGCGGAAAAGGCGACGTCACCTAAGGTTCTGGTGCCGCAGGGGGACATCGTGCCTGGACGGCTCACTGAGACGGAGGCAGTGGGTGGGTCTCAAGGCTCGCGAGGAGGGTGAGGAGGTGGTGGGTAAAATCATGGACGAGCTGATAGACCTAGTGATGGATGCCACCTACAAATCCTACCTGGAACAGCAGGTGGGCCTGGATCCCCGTCCTCCAGACCCATCTCCTCTCTCCCTGACCCCTGCCTGCTGGACTGGGGCCACCCTCTCTCGCCTCCGCAGTGCATTCCGTACACTGTGAACAGGACACGGGAGACCATACTCCATGTGGTCCAGATGAGACTAGTGCCCCAGGATGAGGGAGAACCTCACCTAGCAGAGGACCCCACGTGGGCGGAGGACGAGGAACCCTCACCTTGCCCGATTGACACCTGGGCTCGGGGAGCCGTGCCCGTGCGGTGCGCGCCCTGCTCGGTGGAAAGGAAGAAGAGCCAAGGCAAAGCAAGCCCCGCCCCCAGCTCCTTCCCACCTCCCGCCCCCACCGCCCGCCATGTCCTTTTCTCTTCAGGGCCTCTCTGGGCTGCTCCAACCTTAGTTCCTCTGTCTCCTTCCTGATGTAACACTTCTCACCTCCCACCTCCACCCCAGTGTATTTCCCCAGGACCAAGGGAGCACGGACCAGCTCCCTTTAGGAAGATCTTGG